CCTCCCTTCACTTTTTTTTGAGACCCTAAGAAAATGCCAGGCACTGAGAATGCAACAGTAAGCAGGGTTGACGTGGTCCCTGCTCTCGGGAAGCTCACAAGTAATTCAAGCGCAGCCAACATTGTCCTTTTGGATGCAGCTCTAGTGTGACCCCTAAAGGAAGCCCACCCGACTGCACCCACCCATCCAGGTGTAGCTCACTTTCTCCTCTCTATTCTCATAGCCTCTTGGACACCCCCCATCACAGAACTCCTCACTCCAAGCCGTGATGATCATGTGCTCTCCATGGGGAGATTCCAGGGTGGGGCATACTTAGAATAGGAGGTGTTTGTCCAAACCTCAAATGTTTCCCAAGCAACTGTTCTCTACCGGTGCTGGGGATACAGTGAGAACCAAAATAGATGTGGTCCCTAACCTCATGAAACTGACCATGAATATGCCAAGAATAGCCTTATCTTTTTGGCAAAGCCAACTAGTCATGTGGACACAACGTAGCCCCGCCAACATTTTACAGAGAAGGAAATAGAATTCAGGAAGGTGAACTCATTTTCCCAGAGTCGCAGAGCCAGCGAGGGACAACGGAGGACTAAACCTGGTCTGCACTCTCTCTTGCTCCACACTGCAAGTATCGACCATGGGCTCACCAGGATCTTCACTGGTCCCCAGAACAACCAAGTGGAGATGGATTCAGTATGCCCATTCGACAGAGGAATACACAAGAAAACAGGAGCTGCCTGCCCAGGATCACAGAGCTGAGAAGGAGTAGGGCTGAGGGGTTCAAACCAACCATCTCTGACTCAACCATTGGGCATCACAGCCAGTTTCCTTATCTCTAGAGGGACTTCACAATCTGGGGATGCCCGGGAGCTCCCTGGGGCTCAGACTTCTCCAGGAATGTTCTTCAGAGACTTCCTCCCTGTACCAATCAGGATACCAACAGGAAGCAGGTAGCACATGCAATTGGAAGGAAATTTAACAAAGAGATGACAGTGAATTTACCTAACTCACTAAAATTTATTTGTAACCCCCAAAACCAATACTGTGGTGCTTTCACGGTCATTTGCAGTAAAAGATTTTAGTGGCCCAACATGGTCAAAAACTGAGGTCAAACAGTGTGACACTCTGTCTTCTTGTTTTAGCTGTCCCTGACAAAAAGTATCTGAGTGAAATATTACTCAGCCATAAAAAAGAATGATATTGCCATTTGTGACAACATAGATGGACCTAGAGGATATTATACTAAGTAAAATAAGTCAGAGAAAGACAAATACCATATGATTTCACTTATATGTGAAATCTAAATAACAAAATGAATAAACAAAACAAACAAATTCATAGATACAGAGAACAAACCGATGGTTTCCAGAGGGGAGGGGGATGGGGAAGAGCGAATAAGGGGAAGAGGATTAAAAAATGTAAACTTCCAGTTATAAAATAAGTTAAGAGGATGTAATGTACAACATAAGGAATAGAGTCAATAATATTGAAAGAACTATGTATGGTGACAGATGGTTACTAGACTTATGTGGTGATCACTTTATAAGGAATATAAATGTTGAATAACTATATCGTATACATGAAACTAATATAATATCATATGTCAACTATAATTTTAAAAACTGGGCATCCTTTTCGAGGTCTAGTGCTATGATTTTTAGTATTTTTGTTCTTTTCATTGGTGGTTTTGCTGCTTAAAACAGCCCCTAAGTGTTGTACTGAAGTGCTGTCAAGTGTTTCTTAGGCAAGAAGGCTGGGATGTGCCTTATGGAGAAAATGTGTATGTTAGATAATCTTCATTTGGGTATGAGTTATAGTGCTGTTGGCCTTGATTCTAATAGTAATGACTCACATTAAAATGTATGTATTTTTTTATTGAACAATATATATCAACTAAGCCATCTTTAAACAGAAACACACATAAAACAAGATTATGTATTGATCAGTTGACAAAAATGTGACCAGGAGCTCACAAGAACCCACTTCTTCTATTTCCCCTGGGAACAATGGTTGAGTATTTGGGCAACTTTGTAGAACATAATGAACACAAATAATGAGAATCGCCCGTATTTGCAAAGGTGTCGGCAGGATGTAGGGACAGCACAGTACCAAGGTACTAGTCACTGTGGGGAGCCAGCTTCGGCCCTGGTAAGTCTGAAGCAATGAAGTAGTCAGAAGCAGCCAGCCTTGCAATGTTGCCAAGTGGATGCCTCTAACGCCCACCCCTCCCTCCCACCCCCGCATTGGTCAGTGTTCCCCACTGGTCAAAGCCAGAGAGAAAGGAAGCCCATGGGTGCAGTCCATACATCCTCGCAGGGCAGAGCCACCAGCACCCTGCTCACTTTTGAGCCTCTTGCAGGTCTTTCCTGGGGCTGGGGATTGCCCCTTCGCCTGTGTCTTTATCTATCCTGCCCGGAAATCTCTCATGGGGGTGCAAATTCTCCCCTTGCATGCAATTCCTTACCCTCTAGGTTGAATCTACCACCTTTATTCTTGCTGACACAGCTCATTTGTAACCTCAGTTACCCAATGTTTCACAATAAAGTTCGTACAACGCCCTCAGTTGCTTCAGAATTGAGATTGCAACTGCTGCCCCAGGCTGAGTTGCGGGCACCAGGAGAGCCTCTGAATGACACTATAAGGTGGGTGCCATCATCCCCACATGAGAAATGAAGAAATAGGTCTGAGCAGTGGCAAGATTTTAAAAACCACCCAGCAAGTGAGGGGTTAAGTCTGGACTTAATGATGCCCCCACATGGGAATAGCCAATGTTCTCAAAGAATGGGCCAGGTACCAACCTCCTGAGAACACCTACAGTGCTTGTCAACAAAGCAGCTTCCTGGACCACCCTTGAGACCTACAGAATCTAAATCCTAGGGGGCAGGGCCTATGCATGTCTAATGAGCTTCCCAGGCGAGTCTGTTGCACATCAGACTTTGAAATGCATTTCCTTCCCAGGGCCTGCTCCTGCACCAACCACAGTCAGAGCGGGCCTCAGCAAATGTTTTCATTTTAATTTCTTTTAAAGTTAGAAGAAACATGAATATGTAATATATAACTATATATTATTTATACTATATATAATATTTTATATTATATTATATTATAGGTCATATAATATAATTAACTGTAAAATATT